AGGTTATTTCGAATATCTTAAATTATAATACTTTACCAGCCACTTAGTTGTTGACGTTGAGCCTTAAAATTACAGAAATCCAATAGATATATCATATATGTCAAAATATATATAGAAACCTGATGTATTTATAACTTCTGGATTAACTATTACTATATACTATACTATATAATATAACTATATGTTCAAAAAACAACCAATATAATACAAATTTATTAAGCTAGTTCGTCGCATATAATGCACTTTATTATAATGTATTATGATAATACTCGATTTTATTGGTGAAATTCAAACAGAACTTTTCAATAAAAAGTGCTATACTGTATATTTAGAACAATTATCTACGAATAAAACACTGAAATAATAATTAAAACTAACATTATATTATAATATTATGTATTATGATGATCAAACCCTGCAAAATCGATATAACACTAGAATATAAAATTTAATTATTTACAATAAAATCGAGTGTGCTTGTGCACACATTTTAAAATTTGTAATTTCAAACATAATATTAAGTTATAGATCAACACTTAATATTATAAGCGTGCACGTGTTATTTTGTTTGTAAACGACAAGAGTAAAATTTAGAATAATTAATTTTGTGTCATATGTTCTTTGATCGGAAACTGTTTGAAATGATTATATTATTTGATAGTAACGACACAAGACAAATTTTTAATTAAAAACTTTTATCTTTATTCATTTTATTCGTTGATACAATTTTACTTTGTATATAAAAAAAAACTACTTTATGTTTATAATTTAATAAAACAATACAGACCGACTCATGTTCCAAGTAACGACTAGTAGTCAGTAGACGCTTCTCAGTCTGTCCAAAAACTTTCAATTACGTAACCGTCGAACTCGTTCCGGACAATCGTTTCGGACGTCATTCACATCACCCCCAATACATTCAGGAATGTTTAATTAAAATTCACCTAATTACAAAACGAATTCAGTCTTTGTTCAAGTTTTCCATCAGTGCTCCCATAATGTCCACCGTTCTCGCCGTTATCGACAACTTAACGGAATTTTAAAACTTGACGCAAAATGTAATCACGTAAAACACTTTTTCCTTAAATGACACCGACAATATTATATTTTCTTACTTGAAATATTTATGAAACTTCAAAATTCCTATTACTATAATTATTAGCAAATGTCTGTTACCTAACCTGCTATGGTGTAAACATTTTATAAGGTGTTCACGCGTCTTAATGATGCATATAGTTTTAATCGAATCATATATAAATACGTCACGCTGATCGGGTGACCGAGTACGAATAGTTGTTTATGGTTTATACTGGTATATATTATATACCTAATAACGTTTACTGAGTGGTGGAATAAGAGGGATGGAAGTTTCTTTCGAGTGTGCTATACGACGACGACCCTTACCCACTCTCACACGAGCACCACAAGCCCCGACGCTGCGCTCCCGTCGCCGCCGCATCATCGGACACGGTATTAAACACGGCAGTTAAGTAGACTACTAGTGAACCATAAATAAGCGCATTCGTTTTTATTATTTCTTTTTTCCGTTCGCTGTTTTTCCAGAATTTTCTGGCAAAGTACACCACCACAGCATRGCCTAAAGAACAGTTATATGTATTTAATGCACCATTTAACAACCACTAACAGTAATTAACGATTGTGGTCTTATATATGGATATATAAGGACTAAGGAGTTAGCTCTCTGTTGTTCCTCTTCGGAGATTATCGGCGCATAATAATAATTATAACAATCATTTCGCGGATGATGGTGGTGTACTTTAGAAATTGTGTGGCGGCGATAGCTGGGGTGTATATTGGATGAAGGGGGTATATGGTGGTGTAAACTTTTTGCCCGGCTATTATCTTAATCAGCCCAGTGCCTGCGGTCGTTACAATTATTTTTGCTCGAAAAACGAGCCCAACCAAGCTCATCCGACGCGCTAAACCCGCGAATTTTTATTATAGTCATATCTTTAAAAAGTGTTGCCTACGCCGGGGGACTCGTTTGCCAGTGATGCAATTAAACAATAGCATATACACGTATATATATTTCTTCTCTTTGTTAAACACAGATACAGTGTATACATGTTATATCCCTCGCAAAGTATTATATTATTGTATTATATTATAGTCCTCTTCCGCCGTTCGGCTGTTGTTGTAACGACGATCTCGAGGAGCTGGCTTTTCTCTCTTTCCCACCGCAGTTCCATCTTGTATAATGTATTTATTTTATTTTTTTCGTCCGTCTCGCGTACAAGCGTGTGGTCGTGGTGCGTATACACTCGCCCGACGGCTTCGCTCCAATAACAGTAAACTAAACGCTAGCTCCCGAAACTGCAATATCAATAAATTGTCTACAATCTTCCCGAGAAATTAAAAAAAAACCACAGTCAAACCCTTTCTTTCACTCTCCCGCAGCTATATACTCCTGAGAAAAACTGGAGTCCTCCCGCGTCTTTTCTTCAAGTCTTTTTTTTTTACAAAGTTAAAGTCTCCGATTTACCTATATATATATATATATAATTTGAATCAGATAACACTACGCGGAATTAGTTAACTTAATCCGTTGGCCGGTTTATGGGTTTGCATGCGTCTGCAGTGTGTTTTTATACGCATAATACATACAAACATTTGAAACATTTTATATATTATGTCTAAGTATCAATGATAACGCCAGTCAAGACTCGAGACAACCGTCTGTGGTGTCTGGCGGCGCACTTTACGAACGTCCAGTTCGACATATAACAATAATTATTATAATTATATCGTATTTCGATTGAAGCATCCGCCGAATCACGCATTTATTTGATATTTTTGCTTGTTTGATTTATTTATTTTATTTTTACTTACTTGTTTGTGGCACAACGAAATAGGTTATTATAGCACACACACACGTGGAGATGTGTGCACACATGTGTGTGTGTGTGTGTGTGTGTGTGTGTGTGTGTGTGTGTGTGTATGTGTGGTTATTTATATTTACGACGGGAGACGATAGATATAGTCGTAATGCGCACACACAATCACTAGCAAGTATATGCTGGTGATAAGAATGTATAACATTATAAAAGGAACCGAAACGTGTTTGCGTATTATTTCATATTATATATATTATATCCCGTGTAACAGCGCGTGTGCAAYGTACACGTACATCAGTCGCCCGAACGAGAGCGGTCGTGCTGACGGAGCATAGGAAGTGAGAGAGAGGAAGCTCAATTAAAGTTTAATCCGAAATTATTATATCCTTTCGGCGGGCGTGCTAGTAACGCCGGTGGGAGTGAAGCCTTCATCCTCGACCCACCCGCTGCAACCGCTCGTCCGATGTGCCGTTTACGTTAAAGACATGTACATACATTTATATTATATATGTATTGTTCCGATTGCTCGCATTGGTCGTCTCCGAATAGCATATATATATAGTAAGTATATACACTAATATTACATGCGCGTATAYATAAAAGTCAGTGGGGGTATATATACACTGCGAAGGAGCGAGACGCGCATAGACGACGGTGACTTGCTTAGAAATCGCCTTGATTTGCCGCCGACTGCAACTGTTGTTGCCCGCGTCACGTCCCTAAAACGCACCCTCCCGCCCCGTCGATCCTCATCGCTATATAATAGCTGCGACTGGCGACAACGCTTCTCTCTCCTTTTCACTCCCTGTGTATATCTATATATCCCCTCTCGCTCTCTCTCTCTCTCTCCAAAACGCACTCTCTCAGTCTTCCACAATCCTCAACCATAACTTAGGTATACGCCACCAATAAACGTCACCCCTTCTACCCTCTGATCACAAGCCGCCAGAAATTCGTATTATTATACGCGTAGGTTTTCCTCTGCTGTCCCTCCCTGCAAGCGCCCCGAATTTATTAGTACATTACAACAAGCCCAAGATCAGCCGCCACCACCTCTGATGCACCGGTGGGTAGGACAGGATGTGAGGGGAGGGTATTTGTATAATATAAAAACGGTCACGCGTGCAATCTAATGCGCTCGGCGAGATCACGTCGTGCCGGTAAAACCGCGGTAAATTTGGAATATGAAAATACACGTTTCCGACCACAATCGTACAGTTGATATTATATATATTTTAGTGTGGTCGTATTCTCATACTAGATCCTGCAGGTCGCATAGCTGGATTGTATCGATTAGTACCTATAGTGATTTGAAAATTTTAAATCAAACAAGCTCCTGATACAAAAGCMAATAAATTGGTGGTAAAACTACGACGGTAACCGTGACACGGATGAGTTTTTAAAATATATCGATGTCTATATGATAAAATATATTTTTTTGAAACATATGCGTACCGAGTATACAGCAGTGGAGATTAAGTATTTTGTAAAAATTTTATAGACTCTCAAATAAAACAGTATTTAGGTATATGCAAATGATGAAATTATTGATTATAGCTGATTAAGGTATTTGGGTTTTAGTAATATCTGCAAGTGTTTTTATACATAAGAATAGAAAAAAAAACCTGCATAATGCTAACATCTACGGTGTCATAAAAAACGAAATAGTATAAAATAGTTTATTTATTTTGTATTTTTGTRTACATCGATTGGTTTTTGCATGTTTATGCAATCATTAACATTGTTTCAAAATTTCCCCAGGTGGCAATATAAAAATTAGGCTTAGTGGTGGAAAAATATTGAAATGGTAAAAAATGTAAAATGTAAAGTTATAAATTAATTGAACATTTTTATTTTTCAAGTTGTTTTGTCATTTTAAAGATTATTTAAAATAATATTATATATTGGTTATTACTTATTAGTTATTATACTGAGTTTAATTTTACATTAATTTACCTAATTATTTATTTCTTTTATTTATATTGTTCCAGCAGCAACTACAAGGTTATTAGCTTACAGTAGTAATATTTTAAGTTATAGATTATAATATATTATCTATTTGGTACTATAGATTAAAATTATGCTAATATATATAATGCAATTTATAATATTATTTAATAATAACAATATTTTACAATTAATAACATTTTTTTAGAGATAGCATAATACGTCAGAATTGGAAGCATAGGATGCATATTTAAAAGYTGGAGTACGTAAAAGAGCTAGTACCTACATCAAATGATAATTCTCAAATTCCAATAAAACAAAGGAAACTAACTGAATATAAAAGTACTGATCGGTCTATCATAAACAAAAAAAATTAGACGAAAACATTTTGCATTACATTATTCTTGGTATGAAACCACTGTTTACAGTGGAATATGAAAATTTTATAAAAATATTTAAAGCTAACTCCATTCTCCATGAAATTAAAAATATTATACGATATTATTAATTCTTTTATTGCATAGATTTAGATTGTGCTCTTATTATTTATCACGTAATCATTTTATCGTCATTGCTGTGGAACCTTTATGTTGCTTGGATAGTTCTTCAATTCTTCAGAAGAAAGTGGCTTAAACACAGATCTATAATATGTAGGAAAAATGCAATKAATAAATGAATATAAAAACAAAAATTAGTTTTACATACGTGGACAAAAAATCGTAAAATCCAGTGGCATCATTTTTGGGAGGTCGTACACAAATATTAATGGGTTGTATTTTGTATAAATGTTCTACTTTTCTCGATATTCTGTACTTTTGAAATACGTCAATAATTCCAACAAATAGCAATAATCGTTYATTATTATCACCTAGAGCAGGTATACTACCTATTAATGAATCAAAATTTTCTTTTGGCAAAGTTTTAGTAGTATCTTGAATACTATCCATTCCTATTGAATTATTCATCAAACGTTCCCACCTGGCTATAGCTGCTTTATTTAAAGAAGTGTCTGGTTCTTGAACTTGATCGATATAGTGAATGCCTATTAAAAGACTGTAAT